GGCCCTGCACTGCAAGGTGAGTCAGAGGCCCTGCACTGCAAGGTGAGTCAGAGGCCCACCCGAGGAAGGAAGAGGGGGTGTGGGTGGAGAAGCAGGGTCGGGTCGCTAGAGAGCACACCGGGGAGGTGAGCTTCACTGCAGTCTTCTCTGTGTCACACAGGGAAGCAGGAGGCATAGCCATTGAAGACTCTACTCACAACTATTTAAGACCCCAGTTAGTTGTTTATGTTTGACCTCTAGGGCTGTACTGGTCATGAAGGAAAACCTTAATCTTCCTCTTCCTCCTGTTTTTTTTGGCTGGCACGTTATCATGGATGCTACCTCACTGAGGCGGAAGAGACCTCAGCAGTTAAAAGCGGATACTGCTCTTGTTAAAGGATGTAACTTTGGTTCCCAGCACCCACGCTGGGTGGCTGGAAAGCGCCTGTGACTCCAGCTCTGTGGGACACAATGCCTCTGGCCTTCATGGGCACACAGGTACACATAATTTAACACTATGGAGCTGGAGTTACAGAGGTTGTGAACCTCCCAACATGGGTGCTGGGAACCGAACTCAGGTCCTCCGGAAGAAATGCATACTCTTAATCCATTCATCACACCAGCCCAAGATAAATCACTTTTTAAAAAAGTGACAGCCCACATGACATCATCAAATCATCTACATGGGTTTTGTTTTGTTTTGCTGTTTGTTGATACTGGAAGTTGTACTCAGAATCTGGCATGTGCTCTGGCACTAGCTCCATCCCCAAACAGCCTAATGTAGCACAGGTTACCTCAATCTCCTCCAGCAAGAGTTCTTCTGCCCGGTTACATTTCTTCTGGGTCTGGGCAATCTGCAGCTCAGTATTTCTTTTCATATAAAGATTCTCCAAGTTGGTTTTCGCCTTCATCTCTTGTAACTGGTCCCTGAGGTGAGCAATGTAATCGTTCCCGTTCTGCAGGGATAAGACCAGGTTTCTGAACTAAAAATTTATTGAACTTCTAAATCAACAGGCAACTGGAGGTGGTCTTCTCCTATCACACTAAGGGAAATGTAGTCGGTCCTCACAATAGCATGAATAAAAATGAGTCAGTGCCAGGAGGCTAAGCACACGGCTTATCACAGATTCCAGGCCAACCAGGACCGCAGATGGAGAACTTGTCTCATTAAAAACCGTGCTGGCATGGGGGAGGGGCACACCTTTAATCGCAGTACTCTGAAGGCACAGGCAGGTGGGATAGTATGCATTTTAGGCCAGCCTGTTTACATGGCAAGTTCTAGACCAGTCAGAGATACACACTGAGAGCCTGTCTCAAAGAAGGAAAGAAAATGAAACTGGGTGTGCTGCTACATACCTATAATCCCAGCCCTTGGGAAAGGAAGGCAGGATGACCAGAAGTCCAAGGTCACCCTTAGCTACATCCTTAGCAGCTCAAAGACAGCCTGAGCTACAGGAGACCCAATGCAGAGGGCTGACTAGACAGCTCAGTACATCACTTGCCACCAAGCCTTAGGATCTGAGTTTGGCCCCTAGAACCCACATGGTAGAGTAAGAGAGCTGGCTCACTCAAGTTCTCCTTTGAACTCCATACATGCCCCCCACCATGTTCATACATATTGAGTAAATGTCAAAGGAAGGAAGGAAGGAAGGAAGGAAGGAAGGAAGGAAGGAAGGAAGGAAGGAAGCTAGCAAATCCAGACTGAGCGAGTCTCTCCAGAACCTTCTTTGGTACTCAGAATTTGCCACACAGATTCACCATTATGGTCTCGTTTTGGTAGAAAGAGCAATGGTCAAAGGTGATCCCAAGTCCCAATTTCCCACAGACTCACCAATTGCATGAAATTGGCCAAGTTAGGGCTTAGGTTTCACCTTTCAAAAACCAGAATATTAGTACCTAGTGAGTGACTATACTCACCCCCCAGCCTCCACCTCTGTTCCAACTGGGGACTGGTTCTAAGACACTCCTCCTCCTCACGATACCAAAACCTGCAGATACTCCAATCCTTCCCATAAAGTCTATACAGTACAGACCCAAGTTCTTTTGAACTGGCTCTGTTTGGTTGGTTGGATCTGTGAACACAGAACCTGTAGCCATGTAGGAATGGATATATATACTGAGTGTCTCCTAGTTTTCTTTCTATTGCTGTGATAAAACACACTGACCAAAAGCTACTATGGAGAAGAGAGGGTTTATCTGGCTTAAGGCCGCAGTCTATCACTGTGGGTAGTCTTGGCAAGAACTCAAGGCAGGAAGCTGGCAGCAGGAACTGAAGCAGAGGCCAAGGAGGAATGCTGCTTACTGGCTTGCTCAGCCTGCTTTCTTATACAACTCAGGACCACCCAGGGGTGACATCTCCCACAGTGGGCTGGGTCCCCTTACAGCAATCATTAACCCAGAAAATGCCCAGACACAGACAGACACACACACACACACAGGCCAAGCTGATGGAAACAACTCAGTTGAAGTTCTCCCAGGTGACTCTAGCATGTGTCAAGTTGACAAAACCTCACCACCACAGTGAGTCACTGAGATGTGCTAGAACAGACCTCTGATGACTACTAATGCTTCACAATTTTAAGCTCTCAAAACTCACTGATTAAAAAGAGGATTCTTCAATAGCAGTAGACAGAGAACAGATTGTGGGAGAGTAGCCAGGAAGCTCTGGGGGAAACAGTAAGGGTGACTTCTGTTAGCACAGGGTCTAAGAAGGTTCATCTGAGGAAGCTTAGTTATCCTGACACTCGAAAAACAAGTAAGCCAATTCATTAAAAATGAAGGCAAGAAGCCAGGCAGTGGTGGCGCATGCCTTTAATCCCAGCACTTGGGAGGCAGAGGCAGGCGGATTTCTGAGTTCGAGGCCAGTCTGGTCTACAGAGTGAGTTCCAGGACAGCCAGGGCTACACAGAGAAACCCTGTCTCAAAAAAACAAAAAAAAAAAACAAAAAAAAAATGAAGGCAAGAAATCTTCTAATAAAAAGAAAAGGGCAAAGTTCATGCTAGAGTCCCTGGTCAACAAAGACCAGGATACATTTCAGAAAGTGAACGAAAATCTGCATCTCGACTTGATCTACCTAAAGCCCCCACTCCCTTCAGACGTGGTCTGAACATGTTACTGGATCCAGAGAAGATACAAGAAATCAGCCCTTTCCCGAGGCCCTGGTGGCTGCCAGAAGTGGGCCGAAGCAGTGCTAGCAGTAGTTCTCACGACTGGCCCTGGCCAGGGAAGCATGGGCTTCGAGATTTGGAATTGGAAGCGAGGAAAGGTCGTAACTTGTCTGGCAGAGTGTCAGGTGGCCACTTTGGGTGCATGGCAAGAGGAAAACAGGAAAGCAGTCACCTGAAGGAATGGAAGTCACACTTACAGCAAACAGTCCTGACGTGGGGTGTGAGGGTGCACTCCCCTGATGCCCTGATTCCAGCGCGCAGGATGTGGGAGCAGGATATCAGGTCAAGGTCATCTTTGGCTACTTAGCCAGTTCAAGGCAGCCTGAGCTACAGGAGACCAAACACTTATGCCTCTGCCATTTGGAATCATTTCTATCTAGCCATACCAGCACTGTGGGCTGGGTTGGAGTGTGAGGCACGTACAGCAAATGAAACCTGGTTCCAACTTCTGTAGTCTTTAGAAAATCAAGAATTTTATGATTATGATAGAATTTTTCAGGAAAGAAAACTTGTGTGAAGTCTGTACAGTTAGGAAGGTAACAGCAGACCAGGACCCCCGAGGGGCTGCCCCCAGTTTTACTTAGAAACACTGTACCTTTTTCTTCCTCTTCTCTCCCCCATCCATTGCTCTCCCTCCAGAATCTCTCCATGTAGCCCTGGCTGGCCTAAAATTCAGAGATCCTCCTGCCTCTGCCTGCTAAATACCAGGATTAAAGACGGGTGCCAGCACCCAGACATTATCCTCTCTCCCATAAAGGCACCCCAGCAGATGCCATGTCCTGTGTAACTAACTCTGCGGAAGAGACTTCCATGGAGTGGGTCTAGCTCCTCTTACCTGCACTTGCATTTGACGCTCCCTCTTGACATCAATTAACTGTTTTTGAAGAGATTTTATCTGTTTTCTTCCTTTTTCCTCCCTAAAAGAAGTGAGAACAGTAAGAACAGGGCTGCTCCCTACTGTCTCCACCCTCCCACCCTGCACATATGTAGCAGATGTGCCAGCTCGGTCTTCATGAGGGTCCCCTAGCAACCAGAGCTGTCCCTAAAGCTGTTGCCTGACTGTGGAATCTGTTCCCCTGGCCTGGCTGCCTTGTCTGGCCTCAGTGGGAGGGGATGTGCCTAGGCCTGCAGAGATTTTGTGTGTGTGTGTGTGTGTGTGTGTATAGGTGGGGGTGGGGGGGATGAAGGGAGGGGATATGGGGGGGATGTGGAGGGGTTCCACTTTCTCAGAGGAAAAGACAAGAGGGGTATGGAGGGAGGAACTGGGGGGGGCACAGCTGGGATAGAAAGTGAGTAAATGGGAAAAAAATGAACAGGACTTCTCAAGTGTTAGGTTCAACTGAACATTTAAAAAGCAGGTTCGAGGCAGGAAAGATGGCTCAAGAGTCAAGATCAGAGAACTTGGTTTGACTCCCAGCATCCATGCTGGGCAGCTCACAGCTGCCAATAACTCTAGCTACCAAGGATCTAACACCCTCTTCAGGACTTTGCCGGTACCTATACACAACACACTATATGCATATAGTCATAATTTAAAAATAAGTCTTTAAAAAACAAATAGGTTCTTGGACACATGCACTGGCTTAGTGGATAAAGGGATTTGCTGCCAAGGCTGACAACCTAATTCAGAACCCCAGAACTACATGGTGGAAGGCAAGAACCGATTCCCATAGGTTGTTCTCTGACCTCTGAATGTGCACATTAGCACACACCAGTGCATACAACCACAAAATCACTCAATCAACAAACAAACAAAATGTAACAAGAAAAAAAAATCAGGTTCTTAAGCTAGGATTGGTATTGCCTCCCCTATAATCTTAGTACTTGGTATGCAGAGGCAGAAAGACAAGGAACTTGAGACCAGCCTAGGTTACTAAGCAAGTTCAAGGCCAGCCTGGACCACATGAGAGGCTGCTTTAAAAACAACAACAACAACAGTAATTACAAGTCTGATAAATGGGCAGGGTGGGGACAAGCAGAATGGCCCAGCAGGTAGGTGAAGGTGCTGGCCACCACGCCTGACTACCTGCATTAGATCCCTCTGACCCACATGGTGAAGGAAAGAACCAACTACTGTCCTCTGACTTCCACATGTGACTCATGTGCGCACGCAAAATAAACTTCTGTGAAAAAAATTAAAACAGGGCAGGATACCCTTTTGAGATCCTTCTGTCATTATAATCGCAGGGCTGCCTTTCTGCATACAGTTAATGGCTTTTGCTAGGTTCCCCCCAGCACCCTACTCCTGGAAAAGTGGACCAGGCATCTGGAGTTGGAATAGCAATACAAAAGGAAGTGGAGAACAGGGCCAAACAAAAAATAAGGGAACAAGCCAGGTGGTGGTAGCATACGGGAGGCAGAGCCAGAGAGGGAAACAGACTGAGGGGTGGAGGGAAATATCTCAGAAAACAGACAGAATGAGGGATAAATCATGAGTCAAAATAAAGCCCAAGAAAGCTGGGCTGCAACTGACTTGTTGGAACCTGGTTATCTGGGCCCTGGCTATCTGGAAGCAGTGCCAGGGGCATAGCTACAGTTAATGCACTCATTGACATAAGAGAAGATACTAGCAGGGCCTGGTGACACAGGCCAGAAAAATCAACTTCAGTTCCTCAGGAGACTGAAACAAGAAGATTGCAAATCCAAGGGCTTCCTAGGGTAGAGAGCAAGTTCAAGGTTAGCCCAGGTAGCTTAGAGGGACCTGGTCTCAAAAAGAACAAAGAATGAATAGAGGATGCTCAGAAGTAGAATGTTTACCTAGAGTGCAGGACTCTCTCTCTCTCTCTCTCTCTCTCTCTTTCTTTCTCTCTCTCTCTCTCCCCCTCTCTCTTACACACACACACACACACACACACACAGAGCATATAAGACATATGAAATAAGAATGCTATAAAATGTACTAGGGACAAGAAAGATGCATAATGCTAGCATAAACACCCTACTACTGCCTGGACAGGGATTCATTTTAGCCCAGGCTGACCTGGAACTTACTCTGTAGCCCAGGCTGGACTTAACTCCTGGCAACCCTCATAGCTCATCCTCCCAGTTCTAGAATCACAGGCATAAGCTGCCATGCCTGGCAGCATAAACATTTTTTAAATGACATGGGTTAAAGGATAAAGCTAAGGAAATCAGATTAGAATGAAAACAAGACAGAAAGTGACACAATAAATACACTTTTCTTATTTTTTGTCTGTTTGTTCTGTTTTGTTTTTAAGACAGGGTTTCTCTGTATAGCCCTGGCTATCCTGACACTTGCTCTACACAACAGGCTGGTGTTGAACTCACAGAGATCTACATACCTCTGCCTCCCAAGTTCTGGTATTAAAGGTGTGCGCCACTACCTCTCAGCTACACTTTTCTTTTTGAATTTCCCAGTCTTATTACAGCAGCACAGAAGTACTAAGACATGACACATTAACTCTCAATTTTCTTCTCAGTATTTTAGTAAACTTAAAATTGCTCTTTAAAAATCTAACACTTTAAAAGAAGTGAGGCCCAAACAGAATTCCCTTGTAATTGTCAAAAAATAAAACTTCAGCAAATTTAGCTTCAGTATCCAATTGTCTTTTACTCCACATCATGAAGGGCATGAGCTCATCTGTGAGGCGCCCTGATGCGCTGACCATCTCTGAAACAGAGATAGATTCACAAGCTGGGGAGCTGTGAACTAGAGAAAGCCAGATGAGGTCAGCAAAGGAGGTAGTTTTAGGCAGAAATCAGCCAAGCCAGTAGAAACTGGGAATAAAAGGCAGACTGACTATCTCAAAATGACTTTCCTTAAAGGGCCCCTTTAGACAGAACGGCCTTATCAGTTATGACAGCTCTGCTCACTGGACTCTCTGGCTGGCTGTTGTGAATTTCCTGGCTTTTAGAAAGTTGACCTTTTAAAAGGTTTGGCTTAACTATGTGGCACGCAGCCATTCTGGTCTGGCCTTTTGAAGGCTAGTATAGGAGTTCAGGTCAGGTCAACACAATAAATGCTATTTAACAGTGTCTACAGCTCATGCAGTTATCTGTCTGGCCTGCCAGTGAGGGGTGGATCTAGATCTCTAACAGGAGCTGTTGTTACCAGGCAGCTAGCACATGCCAGGATCATTTCACATGCAACAATGAGCCGGGCGGCGGTGGCACATGCCTTTAATCCCAGCACTTGGGAGGCAGAGGCAGGTGGATTTCTGAGTTCGAGGCCAGCCTGATCTACAGAGTGAGTTCCAGGACAGCCAGGGCTATACAGAGAAACCCTGTCTCAAAAAACAAACAAACAAAAAAATGCAACAATGACCTAATATATGTTTGCTTTGTTTTTTTCACTTGATTTTATACGTAGTATGTATGCCTGAGTGACGTAGTATGTATGCCTCAGCGTATATGTGTACACCATGTGCAGGCAGGAGCAGACAGAGGTCAGGAGTCAGAGCTTCTGGAATTGAAGTTATACACAGCTGTAAGTAACCATGTTGTGGGTCCTTGGAACCAAACCTGAGTATCCTAGAAAAGCAGCCAGTGCTCCTAACTGCCGAGCCATCTCTCCAGTACCTTGTTTTTATATCTGGGACAAGGTCTCACTATGTAGCCTGGACTGGACTCCAACTAAAACCCCGCCTGCCTCAACACCCTGATGAATATTTTTTTTCTGTCACATATGCTAAAGAAGTGTTCTGCCGCCGAGTTACATCCCTACTCTATCTTGAATATCTTTAGAACATGCTAAACATTCCTGGGAAGGAAAATGCCCTGTGTTGTGAACCCAGTCTTTTCTTGTTATTGTGTTGTTTGTTTGCAGTGCTGTGGATCAAACTTAGAGCTTAGTGTGTTTACACAGTGCTCCCTGCTAGCTACACCGCAGCCGAGGACACTGACCAAGGATTTCGGTCTGGTCCATCTTGAGAAGAACAACCAGCTGAGGAACAGTATCTTCCCTGTCATTATAGCACAAGAGGTGGAACCCAGGGGCTCTGGGTACCAGGAGATCCCTCTCCCACTGACTGCCCCCCAGCACCATCTCCCCCCAGCACTGACTCCCCGTTAATTTTTATGTCTCATGACTTACCCATGCTGGCCTCTAACTTGCAATCCGTCTGCTTCAGCTTCCAGAGTATCTGAGATTGCAATCCTGTACCACATACCTAGCTATGGTGTTCTTAATATAGTGTGGATTCAAGTAACCAAGGATGGCTGAATGATTGCCCCATCCAAGCCAGGAATACGCAGGAGCTCAGAACCCAGGAGTCTACCGTCCAGTGATAAGTGAGTAAATGCACATGTTTCATGCGTGGGAAATCTAGGGCTTCTGGTAAGTTTTATACCATTGTAAAATAAAAAAGCAGAGCCTGGAGGGATGGCTCAGTGGGTAAAGTGCTGGCTAGGAAGTGTGGTCCTGAGTTTGGAGACACGGAACCCACGTAAGGTCAGGTGCAGTAGCATCCCCCTGTAACTCACTGCACAGTGAGATGAGAGTGAGATACATGGGACTCCTCAGAGGCAGTCACAGAAACAAAACAACAGACCCTGTCTCCATTCAACCAAGATAAAAGGCAAGAGTCAACGCCTGACACTGTCCTCCACATGTGAATACTGTGGCACACACATGCCTACACTCACACACAAATGCACACATAAAAATTTGCAAAGCTGGGGAGCTTGCTTGGTGGCTAAAGTGTTTGCTACATAAGCATGAGGACCAAAGTTCAGACAGACAGAACTTACGTAAGCACCACACCTGCACTCTGAAGGCAGAGAGCGTCTATCCCCAGAGCAAGCTGGGTAGCCATACGAGCGGTATAGGTGATCCTTGGGTTCAAGTGAGAGTTTCTATCTCAAAGAATAAGTTGGGAAACACTCAAGGAAGACTCCCTCAGGAGTCAACCTCAGGCCTACATACACACATACATGTGTCCCTCACATGTAAGCATGCACACACTTGCGTACCATACATACACATACATGTGAGAAAAGAAATATTGCAAAGCAGACACAGATGTTTAGCACATGCCTGTAGGACCAGCTACTTTGAGGCAGGAGAAGCTCCCATGGGTCTCAGAACTGCCTACATAGCAGTGAGGGCATCTAAAAAGAGAATCACAAAGCACAGAAGTCTATCACCACCCTGACCTTGTGATGACATCATGGAAATTCATTTTGCTGTCTCTTTCTTTGCCCAAGGCTTCCAGGAGACTGGTGAAAGAGCCAGAATCTTGCATCTCCATCATGGCGTTTGCAATCACATCACTGAAATATTGCCTGCCAACGAGAACAAAAAAAAAAAAAAAAAAAGGCTTGTAAGACATACTGCCCTACCTCCTTAAAGAGTTGCAGGAGTCCAGCTAGGTAATGGTGGCGCACACCGTTAATCCTAGCACTGGTGAGTCAGAGGCAGTTGGGTCTCTGTGAGTTCTAGGCCAGCCTGGTCTATAGTGTGAGTGCCAGAAGAGTCAGGGCTACACAGAGAAACCCTATCTCAAAACAAACAAAGACTTTCAGAAGTCATACTAGTTAAAAACTAGAAGGGGCTGGGCATGTTGGCCCACACCTATAATCCCAGCAGTTGGGGAGTCTACAGGACCACCACAGTTTAAGGCCACCCTGGACTACATAGCAGCTTCAGTGCCAGCCTAGGCTACACAGACCTTGTCTCAAAAAAGAATCAGGGGCTTGGGAGATGGCTCAATGGATAGAGTGCTTACTGTACAAATGACAAGACTAGAGTTCAGATCCCAGAACCTATATAATGCAGGGTGAGTGCAGTGACCTGCTTCTAATCCTAGTTCTTGGAAGGAAGGCTGTACAGGGATCCCTCTGGAGCAAGCTGGCTAGTTAACCAACCACAAGTTCTAGTTTGACTGAAAGACTGTCTCAATGAATAAAGTAGAAGAGTGAGTGTAGACAGCCTTTGAAGACTCAGGAGCCAGACACTATTGTAAAAGCCTGCTGGCTCAGAGAGGCAGAGAAAGCGCCGAGCTGACCTTCTTACTCCACTGACATCGCAGAAGGAAAGAGCTCCTTCTCCTTCTCCACACTGTCTTAAGTACCCTTCAACTCAAAGGCCCTCCTTTCTCTTTCCTGGATTTTCTTAGGTTCACTCCCTGTCAACTGTTGCTTCATCTGCCTCTTGTCCTTCAGTTAACTTTATTTAGCTCTTGCTTACAGAAAGCTCTTGGGTTATTTTCTAGTTCACAATCTTGGGGTTCACAATTGTTGTGGCCCAGGAATCATCCCCACAAATCACTATTACCCATCTCAATCAAACAGGACAGTTTATTGAACACACACCTCTTAGGACTGATAGATCAGGTCAGAATTGGGAGCTGAGACTGCAACCCCAACTGTTTTCCAAGGGCATCTTATAAAGGCAAAACCCACCAAAGCTCCTAACAACCATAAAAGCTCATTCATAGGTGCAGGAAGAACTGCTGGGTGGTTGCTGTGGTTGGTTCTGGTCCAAGCATATTGTAGCTAACTATACAAAGCACTTATAACTGACCTTTACTGTGATTGGCTCTAAAGGAGGGTGAGGGTCTAAAGAATTTCTAAGAACACTAAACCATAGAACTTAACAGGATATGCAGTTAATGGTTAACTCAGCCATTAGAAAAGTCCTCTATAGCCGGGCAGTGGTGGCACACGCCTTTAATCCCAGCACTTGGGAGGCAGAGGCAGGCAGATTTCTGAGTTTGAGGCTAGCCTGGTCTACAGAGCGAGTTCCAGGACAGCCAGGGCTACACAGAGAAACCCTGTCTCGAAAAACCAAAAAAAAAGAAAAGAAAAAGAAAAAAAGAAAGAAAAAAAAGAAAAGTCCGCTATAACAATGTAAGATGGCTGGCTATAGGCATAAAACAAAATGGCTATAGTAATGTCAGAAAGGCAATGGCTACCTAGGTTTTAACACAACGAAATCAATATCCTAAAACAGAGCCTCAACATCAATCTCAGGCCTCTACATGCACACATACACATGTGTGTATGTACCCTACCCACATACATGTCTACATATGCAAAAATAGGCATACATATGTGCACATCACACAACAAAAAATAAGAAAAAAAGAAAGTTTCCATGTATCTGTCAAACTGCCTTCCAGCTCTTTCTGTGCCCACAGATCAGTGCTAGTGTAGCTTCTGGTTGAGGGACCAGCTGTTAGTTGCAGAGGCTCCTAAGCAGTCACAGTGCAGAGGATGCGTGGCTACTGAGTGCTCAGACCTACAGGGATATCTACATCACTCCTTGGCAAGGCTCAGGACACATCTCAGACGAGGAGGACAGAAAGAATGTGAGGGCAGAGAAAGGGTTCAGTGCTGTGGAATGCTGTCCTCCAATCAGGACACGACCTTTGCACTCTGAAACTCTCAGCAGCTGGGACTAATAGGATCAGACTGGGCCCACAAAATAAGGTCATAGAGTGGAGTGGACTCACACAGACACATCCAGCCCATGCCTTCCCACCCCCATCCCCTCAAGTGTTTGCTTGAGGAGAGGGAGAGTTTTCTTCAGGGGTACGGCCATGTGTGCGGTACCCATGTTCCTGTAAACAAGCCCTCATCCACACTCATGTAATCACCTCTAATTAGAAACAACAACAACAAAAAAATATGAGAGTAGAATTGGGAGCTGGCTATGTAAGGACTAAAGAATTGTTTTAAGTTTAAATTACTGTGCTTAAGAGATCTATAAAACAAAAATGCCCCTGACCTGTAAGCCCCACTTGGCCCAAGGGTGGATAACTTCCTGAAGTGTTGGGGGCTATTGTTCATGTAAGATACAAGCCACACACTGTAATTTCACTTCTGTAAACAAGGTTGGTTGCCCAAACTATGAAGGATGTGTTTGATCACATGTAGGGGGAAATATGTAGGCAGGAAGCACACCAGGATGTATGCTTGTCCCTGATTGGACAAAGGCAGGAAGAGCACAGCCTTGTGAGTATTACCTTTAGAAGCACCTGACTAACATAATTTGGTGCCATTCGTGGAATCCTGGTTATGGACCTGGCCAGTGTCCATCATCCTGGCCAATATTTAATAAAGCTTGCTCTAAATTTGGTTTCAAAATTGTGGTCATGGTCTTATTCTTGCCCAGTGGGGTATACAGCTAGGAAAAGGAGGTGTGGGAAGGAGTTGGGATATGGTAATAAGTGTGATGCATGTATCAAAGTACATTCTACATACATCTATTAAAACATCATAACGAAACCTTTATGTAAAATTAGTATAAGCTAATAAAATTATTTTTAAAAACCCTCAAGCTGGGTGGAGGTGGCACATGCCTTTAATCCCAGAGGACTTGGGAGGCAGAGGCAGGTGGATTTCTGAGTTCGAGGCCAGCCTGGTCTACAGAGTGAGTTCCAGGACAGCCAGGGCTACACAGAGAAACCCTGTCTTGAAAAAACAACAACAAAAAACCCTCAAAAACAAATGTGCTGATTTATGGTTACGTACCTATAATCCTAGCACTTGTGAGTATAGGCAAGAGAATATGTAGTTCAAGGTCCTGCAGCTATGTGGTAAGCTGGAGGACAGCCTGGACAACATGAGACTTTATTTTAGAAAAAAAGAAAGAAAGAAAGAAAATACACAACCATTTGTCAGTGCCACACAAAAGTATCATTTCGTTATATAATTCTGCATGTAAGAAGTACACCATAAATTTAAAGTTTTTAAATAGTTAGGTTTTTCCCTTTCCTTTTCTTTCTTTTCTTTTTTCTTTTACTTTTCTTTTCTTTTTTTTTTTTTTTTTTTTTTTACAAATCAATATATAAATCACTTATTGTCCTTAAAGTGCCCAAATTGTACTTGTGATCAGGATCTTGTTTCTGGAGCTAGGAATCTGAGGCCTCAGTCATCAGCCTGCTGCACGGTTCCCTTCTCAGACACATAAATGCCATCCAAAAACTTTCTGATATCTTTGTTTTTAACTGTTGTAGCTTGCTGAATCAGAGCCACTGAATTTGAAACAAGTTAAATATCATTTCCTTCAAGGATTAATTCATCCTTCTGGACTTGGAAGACAGAACAAGCAACACCTGTCCTCATCTGAACCCTACGGATGTGTTTTTAACCCAAGAAATTTCGGATTTCAACCAAAGACCCATTTTCCTGAATAAGGACGTTGATGGGGAAGTGAGCGTACAGAGACCTCATTTTGTAACGGAAGCCCAGTGTAACACCCTTGATCATGTTCTGAACATGACTGCAGACGGTTCTGACAGTGGCCAGTTCCTTTCTGTTACCCCACCATTTGTCAACCCGGAACCTTTTCTTTTTCTTTCCAAGAAGACTCAACTCTACATTGATGTGATTGAGGTCCCTACGCAGAGTTCTCCTGGGGCCCTTCACAATGACTGTGAGCCCCTTCAGAGTGATGTCGACATTTTCCAGAATGTCGACAGTCTGATTGCTGAGAATGGTCTTCATTCTCACAGTAGATGGGGCAAAGAGAGCTTCTTCTTCTTCTTCTTCTTCTTCTTCTTCTTCTTCTTCTTCTTCTTCTTCTTCTTCTTCTTCTTCTTCTTCTTTCTCCTTCTCCTTCTCCTTCCTTCTCCTTCTCCTTCTCCTTCTCCTCCTCCTCCTCCTCCTCCTCCTCTTCCTCCTCCTCCTTCTTTTTCTCCTTCTCCTTCTTCTTCTTCTCCTTCCTTCCTTCTCCTTCTCCTTCTCCTCCTCCTCCTCCTCCTCCCCCTCTCTTCCTCCTCCTCCTTCTTCTTTTTTAATAAAGAAAGCCAGGAGCTAGCTGGGCATAGTGACACACACCTTTAATTCCAGCACTTAGGAGGCAGAGGCAGAAGGATCTCTCTGAGTTCCTGGACTAGGGGGTGAGTTCCAGGACAGCCAGGAGAAACCTGTCTTGAGACAGAGAAACCCTGTCTTGAAAAAGGAAAAGGAAAGAGAGAGAGTGGGGGGTGGAGGAAAGGAGGGAGAGAGAAGTTTCCAGTACCACAGAAAAGAAAAAGGATGAGGTGGTGCAGACCTGTAAGCCCAGCACTAGGGAGGCAGAGCTGGGACCCAGGAGTTTGAGGCCAGCCTGGTCTACACAGTGGGTTCCAGATCACCCTAGACTAGAGTCTCTGAGAAAGAATGGGAAGGAAAGAAGGGAGGAGAAAAGGAGGGGAGGGAGGAAAGGAGGGGGAAGAGTAGGAGGAAATGCAGAAACAAAGCCTCATTAATGTGTCCAACATAATGCGGCCACCATGTTTTAAACTGTACCACTCTGCCTCTAAGAGACCTTTGGGTGACTCTACTTCTGTAGTCACTCAACACATTACTAAAGCACAGAGCTGGCAGCCCCCTTTGCACCTTCCTTACCTCACACGTCATTACTGTCCCAGATCTGCTCTCCCTTACCTGTCATTCTGAATTTTCTTCAGTGTTTCCAGAGTCATTGTGGTCTGCTTTGTAGATTTTTTAAAAGTAAATTCCTGCCCTCTTGGTTTGTTTTCTGCCACCAGGTTAATTAAAGATTTTTCTTTAGTTAACAAAGAAGAAGATATTTTCGGTGTGCTGGAAACCATAGATACTGCTTCATGGCTGGCTTTCTAAAAATAAAGATCAAAGATATTGTTTCAGGGGCTGAACAGATGGCTCCGTGCGTAAGAGCACCTGTTCTTGACGAGAACTTCAGTTCGATCCCCAGCACCCATGTGGTGGCTCACAAGCATCTGTAAGTCCCGTTCCAGAGGCTCCAACACCCTCTTTGGACCTCTGTGGACACCATGTATGCATATGATGCACAGACATACATGCAGGCAGTACATTCATACACATAAAAAAAAATCTTAAAAATAAAAACCAAGAGCTGGAGATGGCTCAACAGTTAAGATCACTGACTGTTCTTCCAGAGGTCATGAGTTCAATTCCCAGCAACCACGTGGTGGCTCACAACCATCTGTAATGGCATCTGATGCCCTCTTCTGGTGTGTCTTTAGACAGTGAAACTCACATAAAATAAATCTTGAAAATATATATATATAAATAAATAAAAGCCAAGACGACCGCTTTAAAGTGAAGAGACAATGTTCTATGAGGACTGCCTGTTTTCAATGCTTTTCTCCAATTATACTCCATACTCCAAAACACCAGACCCTTTCCTCAGACCCACCGAGCCACCTGTCTTACTGTTTCTCGGCTTCCTGTCTTTATGCATCTCTCTATCATCTTCTAACTTGCCACCTGGTAAACCTTAAGACAAATATCTAAGGTAAAACTTGGAACTAAGGGTGTAGGTCAATGGTAGAATATATCCATAACATGTGGAAGGCCCTCGACTCAAGCCCCAGCCTCACAAACATAGAAGCCATGAGGAAGATGGCTGAGACTTTCATTTCCAGCACGTGGGAGGTGGGGGGGGGGGCATCAGGTGTTTGGGGTCATCCTTGGCAGCATTATTAAATTTCAGGCCAGCCTAGGCTAAATGAGAACCTGTTCAAAACTAATACAAATTCAAAAAATAAATAACAAATAAAAACAAGTAAGCAGAATCCCACAGTTATTTATAAAATATCTTTGCTGTAAGCATTTACCATATTGTAATCATAAAACATCAATATGAGATCATGCATTCCTTGAGAGGCGATAATGTCATACAGACATCAGTTCAAATTTTTTTTTTTTTTGGTAGTTTTTGAGACAGAGTGTCTCTGTAGCCCTGGCTGTCCTGGAACTCACTCCATAAACCAGGCTATCCCTGAAATCAGAGATCTGCCTTTGCCTCTCAAGTGGTGGTTTTAAATGTTTGCCACCACCGCCTGGCTTTACTTTAATTAAATTCTCCATTTGCTTTTCTTTCCCTCTCCTTTCTATCTTCACTGTTTTCTTTCTAGACTAGGAATGGAACATGGAGCCTTGTGTGTGGGCTTGTCAGACCAGAGCTAATCCCTACTCCTTCATTTTCTTTCATCCCAAATTCTTTCCAGACTAAAGATTGAGAATTGTTCACAAATATGGTCGTCTGTATAGCATCATTGCTTGGTACAATGCACAGGATACATCAGAAACTCAAATGTTCATCAAATATGACTGAAATACACAGAGAACACAGTGGCATGTACCCGTGGTATCAGGCCCTATGGAAGCTGAGCTAGGTGAAGAGAGAATGTGAGTTTGATGCCAGGCTGGGTAACACGGTGAGACAGACTAAACAACAAACCAACCTAAAAACTCTACAGGATAAAAGGAGGATTGCACTGAAATGTGAAAGGCAGTGTCAGATTTAGTGATGTGGTTTAGATCTTGAGGGCCATATAGCAAAAGCCAAAATATTTTCCAGACCTAAATTCAAGTACCAAGAAACTATAAGACAGATGTGTCTTCTGATGACTCTTACTTAACCTGTGGCTAAATGGTTCGGCTATTGACAGTGATTACATATTGGGACCATAAAGCCAGCGTCTATGTCTGAACTCTGGCCCTATTTCTTACTAACAATGAGTAGCCTGTGATCCCAATTCTGGGCGGGGGAGACAGGAACATCCTGGGAGCTTGGCTGGCTAGCCAAAGCTTGACCTTAGATAATTATTTAAAATTTCTATGCTTCCATTTTCCCACTGGCAAAATAAAATTACTACTTTAGAAACTGTACAAGGAGGGGGCATGGAAATGTAAGAGAAAACTTGATATTTTAATTCTACTCCTACTACTAGACTCCCTTCTCCCTAACATGGTTTCTTCCACTTTCACGTCCTGGGTGAGTGTGTATGTACATATAAATTCAGATCTCACCTATGAGAGAATACATGCACCTGCACACTAATGCACACACACACACACACACACAGAGGTACACACACAAATAATTCAAAATACTGGTGAATCATTTTACGAAAAAGATATTATAAAGAGGGCTCCTATTATGCCAGAAAATTTTGTAGGTAAAAGATCACTAGTATAAACCAGAATAAGACTGTGAAAAAGTTTCCTTCTTCCAACTGTGGGTCCCAGGAGTCAGACTCAGGTCATTAAGCTTGGCATGAACCTTTTGCCAGGCAACAGAGGCCATGAACTACAGACTGCTGGCTTAAACTCACTGAGCTATCTCACCAGTCTGGCCTGGAATTTTCTATGTAGAGCAGGCTGTCCTCAAAGTCACTGAAATCTTGTCTCTCCATCTCCAGTGCTAATATTATAGACATGAGCTTAAAGATGCCCAGAGGTCATTGAAAATATAATTAATGACATGGTAAGGTTTCCAAATATTTACAAAAGCAGGCTGCAACATATTCAACAACAAAAACAGTTATTTTTTAATTAAAGCTGTAGGGGTTGGTCTGATGTATTCAAATATTAAATTTTGTACCCCAAGGTCTTGTTCCAAGATGAACAAATCCTCAAGTATACCAACTTTTGTTGTATAAACCTTGCCCCCAAGTTATCCATGATTGGTTAATAAAGATGTCTACAGCATGTAGCTGGGCAGAAGAGAGGTGGGGCTTCAGTTCCCTGGCTTGATGTCTGAGGCAGGAACCATGAGGGGAAGGAGAGAGAGGAGCAAGGAAGAAGTTGCTAGGGGTAGAAGGATCGTGAGCACATGGCCATGATGGACAGCTTGTGGGAGTAAGAGGCCAGATGTAACACGGCAATTGGTCTCTGAGGGTTACTGACAGGGAAGTAGACAACACGGCTTACAGGGGTGATGTCTGCCCAGCTCTAATGCTTTAAGGCTTATTATAAATATGAAGGTGAGAAGGCTAGGCTGATTCCAACAGGTTTCAAATTGGCAGTTAAGGAGAATAGGCCTAAATTTCTGTTTCCAAGAACTGAGCAAGTCCAGACTTCAGAAGCTGCCCTGCCACCTGGCCTGAGGCAAGGACAATGGGTCAGCAGCAGTTTCTAGACTTCCTCAGCTACTTCCTCAGCAACAGTTTCCAGACCTCCCCAACAAGTTTCCAGCCCCCACACCCTGGTAACGGAATATCAGTTGTCTTAGTTAGGGTTTTACTGCTGTGAACAGACACCATGACCAAGGCAAGTCATGTAGAGAACAACATGTAACTGAGGCTGGCTTACAGGTTCAGAGGTTCAGTCCATTATCATCCAGGCAGCCATGGTGCAGGAAAAATTGAGAGTTCTACATCTTCATCTGACCAGATAGCTAGGAGGGTATTATAACCCATGCCCACTGTGACACACCTACTCCACCAAGGCCACACCTCCTAACAGTGCCACTTCCTGGCCCAAGCATATACAAACCATCACATCAGTAGAGATGGATCCAACAGATTAACACAGAGATCACCTACCCTGGAAATCCCTAATGTGCTTTTTTTTTTTTTGGTTTTTCGAGACAGGGTTTCTCTGTGTAGCCCTGGCTGTCCTGGAATTCACTCTGTAGACCAGGCTGGCCTCGAACTCAGAAATCCGCCTGCTTCTGTCTCCCAAGTGCTGGGATTAAAGGCGTGTACCACTTAAAATTGAAAGAATCTCAGGTTTCGTTTAAACTCTAGAATTAACTGGAGCACATTCCAAAGACTTACACACACATTCCAGGGGAAGGGCCCAAGACAAGAGGTAATCAGGAAGCTGGGCCCTTAACGTAATAAACCTGGACAATGGAAGCCACTGAGCTAACACTCATTGTCATAAAAATAATGTGTAAATCTGAGCCACCTAGAGACCAGACCTGGAACAGCTGTTGAGGTCAGCCTTTGTGGTTGCTCTCGTGAACTCTGTATAAAAACATCTCTCTCTCAGCTTTGGCTCAGGGTTCCTCTTGCCTACGTGTGAGGGAACGCCTGTGCACTGGTTATCTTTAAACCTCATGTTTTTGCAGCAAATCCCCTGTCAGTGAGTGTTTCTGTGGGAGCGTGTCCCCTGGTTTTGGATCTTTGGGTCCAACAAAGCCCGTTAAATAAGGCTGCTGCAATGTTGGCATACAATCTATGTGAATGCTGTCTACATTTAAAATAGGCTCTAGATTGCTTATCATGCTGAACACAATGCACAATTGTTATACTGAAATGTTTAGGGAAAGGTGACAATGGGGAAAACTCTAACATAGTCAGTTAAGACCAAACTCTTCCAAATACTTTTTCACCAGAGGTTGGTTGATCCAGAAATCCAGAATCTGTGTACACTGAAGGCTGTCTGTGCTGTATTTATATAGACTTAGCTTGGAGCCTTTTGAACTAATGCCAATATACTGCAGAAGTGTACTGACGTACCCTAAGCTATAATGTCACTTTTTCCATTTTGACTACAGAGCTCAAAGAACTGTGATACACCCTTTATTTGCTGTAAAGGTGCTCCTTCCAAGCTAAATTGAATGACCCAGGTAGTACAATAATGGAGAGATCCAAAGGAAAGAGAACAAGACAGACAGAGGTGAGTGTGCTCACCTGGCTGAGGCTCTGCCTTCTTTCATACTGAACCGGAATGATGTAGCCTAGAATAGAGAGCTGGTCAATAATGTCCTCCATAATTGCAGATACCCTCAGCACATCGAGAAGGGACAGTGTCTCTATGACTTCTGAGGAGGTCTCTTCCTCTTCTTCATAATCTAGATCTTCTTCTTCAGCTTCAGGCGGCTCTCCTGTCACCACCACAGTAACCTCAGGTTGTAAAACCTCTGAAGGAGACCCCACGGGTTCCAGCTCTTCCCTAAAGCCCAGAGGAAAAAAGACTAAATCAGTGGTTAATGTGGAAATATTACTTATCCTCCCTCAAAAACACAGGAAACATGTTGCCAAGGACCAGCCTTGGCTTGGAGAGGGGTTCTGAGAGAAGGGGTGTTTGAGAGCAGGGAAACAAACTCAAAGTCAAATCGTGGGTCCAAGCTGACCACCCACGTTCTGCGGGAGACAGCTTTCCAGACAGCACTCTTTGGAGATCCCCAGACACCTCAATACAGCTTTCCAAGCAGTTCTTAAAAATTCTCTGGATAGCTCATCTCTTGCAGATCAAAAGCCCAGTTTTTTATTTACATATCAATTCAGTCAGTACCCCAGGTTCCCTTTTGATAGTCCCAAGAATCAGTATCCCATTTCCCAGCCCCTTGTTTCTTAGGAGACAGCAAGCACTTTTATTTTTTTAAAACATTGCAAAAGAATTCAGAGATCTGTCTGCCACTGTTAAGTATAGACAATAGGACTGGAGAGATGGCTCAGCAGTTAAGAGCACTAACTGCTCTTCCAGAGGTCCTGAGTTCAATTCCCAGCAACCACATGGTGGCTCACAACCATCTGTAATGGGATCTGATGCCCTCTTCTGGCATGTCTGAAGACAGTGACAGTGTACTCATACACATTAAATAAATAAATAAATCTTAAAAAAAAGTATAGACAATGAACTAGCTGGGTGGGACCTCACCCTGAAATTACCATTTCTATCTTGTCTGGGCCTAGACCTGAACTCTCTCTGTCTAAGGCTGACTTTGAACGCAGGAATCTGTCTACCTTTACAAGCAAAAAAAAAAAAAAAAAAGATCTTAGCTAGGTGGGACCTTCTTCAATCACCCCTCCCTAAATCACTTTTTTTTTTTTTTTGGTTTTTCGAGACAGGGTTTCTCTGTGTAGCCCTGGCTGTCCTGGAACTCATTCTGTAGACCAGGCTGGCCTCGAACTCAGAAATCCGCCTGCCTCTGCCTCCCAAGTGCTGGAATTAAAGGCGTATGCCACCACCGCCCAGCTCCTAAATCACTTTCATATTTTTCTAATGAGTTGATTCACATTGCAGCTGCCTCTGTTCCTTTAGATCTGTAAAGTTCCTTATACAATGTATACTGCATCCTTATACTTTATTTACATAGTTGAGGAAGTATATATTTTTGAACTCAAGTTTTTAAAGTTCCCTTCCACCACCTTAAGGGTTGTCCTGAAGGTCCCAGCATCTACCATTTTTGCTAAAGGCATAGATATACCCTTAACTCCTGGACTCACGCTGTTTCTCATTATCATGGAGTCATTAATGTTACCAGGGAAGACATTCCTCCAATAAGGAAAATGAAAACCTGTACATTATTATATAAACAAGCCTTATATCCTCAGCAGCCATGGACACACGTAGAGGCCATGCCTGCTGGCCCTGTCCCAGGGGCAGGAACCATGTCCTTCCACCCCTACCAAGGCCATGCTAGACTCGGCAGCATGTGGATTCTCCTGTGAATTTCATGTTGTCATATAACATAACCTCTATAAAAGACCGAGACAGGGGGTTGCATGGGATTCTGCCAAAGACACTCCAGTAGGACCAACCAAAGCCAATGTTCTAGCTGATAAAACCATGCTGTTTGTCTATGCTAATGCATTTATCTGAAGGCACCATATTCAGATGTTAACCCCTAGGGCCTCATGAATACTGAAAGACAGAACATGCTAGCCAGCCTCCAAGGTGGCCCACATAACTCTGGTCTTTATGCCCGGGTGTGGTTTTTCCCTACACTTAGTGGGGAAACCACAAAGATCTGCTGAGAGAAAGAGTGTGATTTCCAGATCAGGTTGGTAAATAACATGGCTGCTTCTATCTCACTCAAAAGCTCTCTCCCAGGGAAGTGCCTCATCTGTCATGAGGACACTTAGGGTGCCCCTGGCCAACCAACCTTCTGGTTAACGTTGTCTACCTGACTGCATCTACAACCACCTAGGAGATAAGCATGCAGACGTGGCTGTTACAGACTTGTTACTCGACCAGGTTACTTGAGATAGGAAGACTTATCTGACATGGACTGAATAAAACAGAGGAACGGAGCTGAGCCCCGGCATCCATCTCTCTGTTTCCTGACTGTGGATGGCCCGTGACCAGTCCCTTCTGCTCTTCTGCCATACCTACCCCTCCAAGTGTGAGCCAAGACAACACCTTTCATGTCTTCCCAAACAGCTTCCTCTCTGACATTTTGTCCCACAGATGAGAGAGAATTAACTGGCACAGACCCCAAACCAGAACCATTTGCTAAACGCTCCCAAACGCCCAACCCACAACAATTCTGAAATGATAAGATGCTTATATATTAGATCATTACATTTGGGGGAATTTGTTACATTGTTACAGATAAATAATTCACAGAATTCAACAGATGGCCTAATGCAACAACATATGGACAAACAAACTGGAACTTGGAACATACCTTTCCATTCTTCCTCAGTTACTTTCCTTGCTCTCTGAGGTAGATTTATAATTTCACAAGAATGAAGTTACCTAAAGTAGAAAAGAAACACTGATATCAGCTCGAAGGGATGCCAACTCTTTTTTTTTTCCTTTATTTCCATGTTCTTTTTGAAGGAGAAAAAAAAATCACAGAATCTCAAGAGCTATGGTTTGTCCTTTCCTCCTTAGGAGAGCAGGCTCATAGGATGCAGGCTTATTAAGTGTTTGGCTCCATTACTGCTCCACCAAAATACAGGTTATACTCCAGGTAGTCTTTTGCCTCTTCTTACGGTAAATTGACATTCGACACAATTTGAGTGTGTCATTGTACTCTGATTTTGACTGGTAGTCAATACAGAACAGATTTATTTATTTATTTATTTATTTACTTACTTACTTATGGTTTCTCGAGACAGGGCTTCTCTGTGTAGCTCTGGCTGTCCTGGAACTCACTCTGTAGACCAGGCTGGCCTCGAACTCAGAAATCTGCCTGTCTCTGCCTCCCAAGGGCTGGGATTAAAAGCATGCGCCACCACTGCCCAGCTAGATTTATTTTTGATTCTTTAATTTCTTTTATTATTCTCACTTCTATATTGAATTAAATGATTCTGCCCTGCTTTGTCAGAGAACAGAATTTATTGTAACTTGATTTAGAACAAGTGAGATTACACTTGGAAAACTGTATTTTTTAAATTAATTTTTATGTGCATCGGTGTTTTGCTTGCAGTATGTCTGTGTAGGGGTGCCAGATTCCCTGGAACTGGATTTACAGACAGTTGTGAGCTGCCATGTGGTTGCTGGGAATTGAACCTGGGTCCTCTGGAAGAACAGCCAGTGCCCCTAACTGCTGAGCCATCTCTCTAGCCCCAGAAAAACCTACATTAGCCCTGGACATTGGTTTCATAAGTTATTACTCCTCAGAGCTGGGCGTGGTGGCAAAATCTGTAATTACAGTACTTAGAAAGTGGAAAGGAATCAGGAATATGAGGTCATCCTTGGCTTAACATAGGGACTTTGGAGCTAGCCTAAGCTACATAGACCTTGTCTTCCTGTTAATGTTTTTTTTAAATGTGTATGTACATGCTTGTCCCTATGTGCACTGTGGGCATACAGTTAGATTTCCCAGCACTGAAGTTACAGGTAATTGTGAATGCCTGATGTAGATGCTGGGAATCGAACCAAAGACTTCTTTGAAAGCAGTATATGCTCTTAAACATTGAGCTATTTCTCTAGTCCCTGTCTTTTTTTTTTTTTTCTTCTTCTTCTATACAGAGACAGGGTTTCTCTGTATAGCCCTGGCTGTCCTGGAACTCACTTTGTATGTAGACCAGGCTGGCCTCAAACTCAAGAAATCCGACTGCCTTTGCCTCCCAAGTGCTGGGATTAAAGGCGTGTGCCACCACCGCCTGGCTTAGTCCCTGTCTTAAAACAACAACAAAAACAAGCTGCATGTAAGATCAAGCTCTAGAGTCTGAGGCCATCTTCTGACCCCTGAAAGCACACACATGCATGTGGAATACACTTGTATGCATAAAGAATTTTTTTAAAGGACCCTAACTCACCACATGTCTAACCTGCTTGTTGTCTTGGGTTTTTTGGAAGGGGGAGGGGGCAGGAGTGAGATTTCTTACTCTGTAGCTCAGGATATTCTTGTACACATTATGTACCTCTTACTGGCCTGAAACAGAGCAGTTTTCATACCTCAGCCTTCTAAATGCAGGGATTACAGACACAAGAGCCAACATGCCCACCTTGCTCCCTCAAGTAGGGTGCAAGAGGGCAGACGGTTTAGTTTGTTTACTCTAGTGTCCTTCCGGCCTAGACCATTCTTGTTAGTCACTCAATAAATTATTCCGAATAAATGATCCATCAGTCCACCTTAGTTAATGCACGTTAGGAACTGTAAATCTAAGTCTATCAAATTCATCCTCATCCGACAAGTCAGGCAAAGGATGGAAGAACGAACTATCTATCTCTCACTTCCCCACACCCTCTCCTTTTTTTCAGATGGGGTCTCATGTAGCTCAGGCTGACTGGCACCCCGTATGTAGACGAGGATGGCCTTTTAAATTCTACTCCCCTGCTCGCACATCCAAAATACTGAGATTACAAGCAAGCACCGGGACCCGCGGTTTGCCTCATAGGTATGCAACTCAGCCTAGCCTCGAATTCGTGATGTGGTCCTCCTACCTCAGTCTCCAGAATGAACGCTGAGGTTAATGGGCAAGGGTCACCACGCTCTGTTTGTTAATTGAAAGATGGGAGAAAAGAACAAATAAAGAGAAAGTAGCGTTCCTCCTGCCTTCATGCTCCGGGTTTTTCTCTCCTCTATGGTAGGATCCCAGTCTCCAGTCTAGGAAGAGGAGAAAACTCAACTTTTCCTCACCTCTCCACCAGCCCAGCTGCAGGCGGGAACCAAGCTAATCGGTAGCTATGGCAACGCGTCGCGCAAGCTTTTTTTTTTTTTTTAAGTAGGACCCGTGACTCTTTCTTAGTCGACTACAATTTTGCCTTTCTTTGTTCCTAAATTATACATGTTTCCGCTTACAAAAACGAAAGGGCAGGAGAAAAAAGTAAAGTTCTTGAGCACGACTTGGCTGAGTCGAGCCTCTCTCTGACCTTTGCTTTCTGGCAGAGTGCAAGCGGCCTAAACGTGGAGAGGGGCGGAGCGTGCATCCCACAAGGCCGCGCGGCGGGGCTTGCCTTCCTCTTTCCGCCATCTTGGAGCCTGTGGAGGTGAGGGAATTTGCTGCTGCTGAGTTTTGGGGGCATATTTCTGGGGTGTGTTTAGTTCCTTCCTTCACCGAGACAACCCTGCGTCTCGGAGAGCCTGACCGCCAGAGATGTCTGGGGCTTCCAGGAAAATGGGGGGCGGGATGGAGGAGATGACGGTCTGATGGTGTTGAGGCCCCGGCTGGGGGAGGAGAGATCGCTGGTCTCAGTCGTTCCTCGGGCTCCGGAGGAGTGAATGGGTGCATTTCCCCGGTCTTGCTTGCCCAGGAAGCGGTGCTCCCTATGAGCTGGTTTCCCCGCACGTAACGACCTTGCGTGTGTTACCTGTTTTGGGTACTGGTTGAGGCATGAGTTTGCCTCCGGGGTCCTTAAGGGGTTCTAGAAGTTAAGTCTTTGGTGAGTCGTCCTCCTACCTAGCGTTTGCCCACGTTTCCGAGCAGTTAGTTGTCATTCGTTGTCAGGAGTCTGAGTATTTTACCAGGCTCTGCTTCTGTAGGTGAGGTGGCATGGCTTAGGTAAGAGGTCCACGTACTTGAGATGCTAACAGAATAAACGCGCCGAGAAATAATGACAGGTGGGAAACGTGCTGCATGGCTTTCAATTGAGCTCTCGTTTGTTTTCAGGCCTGCTGGGAACAGGACTTCTAAAAGCAAGTATGTCTGGAAGGTATGCGACTGAAGTATTGTTTTTTTCCATTTCTATTTTATATTAACTAGACGTGAAACCCAAGTTTAATGTGATGCGGGAGGAGAAAGGCGGTATCTGCTGAAGATAGTTGGAGTTATTACAAAACAAATCACGGTGGTTTGCTGAAAGTTAAAAGTGGTAGTAGGGCAGTCATAATGTCTTTCTTGTGTCTTAGGCTGTGGTGCAAGGCCACTTTTGCTGGCTACAAGCGAGGTCTCCGAAACCAAAGAGAGCACACGGCTCTTCTTAAAATTGAAGGTGTTTATGCCCGAGATGAAACCGAGTTCTACTTAGGCAAGAGATGTGCTTATGTGTACAAAGCAAAAAAGTAAGTATGTTTACATGCCTTTTTAATTTTTTGTTGGCTTCTCATTTTTTTTCCCTACTGTAAAGGTAGGGGTGTTAGTGAAAAATTGATGTTGTTGTTGAGTCCTAGAGGCCATAAAGAAATTGCTAGGAAATTTCTAGCAATGGAGAAGGATTCTTTTGTCAGTGGTATTGAATATATAGACACCATTGGCTCTTAGAAAAATTACAAGAGTAGAAAGTCTCTGTGTTGAGTCCCTAACATGGTTAAAAAGGAAGACTGCAGCTGTTAATGTCTTTCATTTTCCATTGAAGGGGCGTATAGAACACTTTCCAATGTAATTCCTAAAAATAACAATTACTAGAACAGATTTTTTGTTATTGTATCATTTCTTTTCATTCTCACGTCTTTATGGAATTGGGTTCTGTGCTACTATGTCAGAAAACAGTCTGTTGCGCCTTGGCGTACAACAATTGAGGTTACATTTGGGGAAACTTTTTATGGCGTTCTGCTTGTTTATCTGTGAGGGTGCCAGATTCCCTGGAACCAGATATTTTTTTTGGGGGGGGGGAGAGTGTGTGTGTGTTTTAAAGTGGGTGCTATGTTGTTTCTCTGGTCCCTCTTTTTCCTACTGGGAGTTGAACATAAGGCCATAAACTGTGCCTTATGTACATTGTCAGGTCTTGAGAATGTGTATGAGTCTTCCATGCCTTTAATCCCAGCATTCCAGGTCATGTACCTGAGTGAGAGTCATGTTCCAGGCTAGTTGAGACCTCAGTGATTCCATAATTCTCAGTCTCTGATAACCTGTGCTTTCAAGTCCTCGTTTTTCAGCTTTTATCCCAAGGAGGCTTCATCGCTGGGTCTTTCCAAATTTACTCTTAATGTTTTAGCACACAAAAGAGTCTCCTGTCTTTAGTAGTTGTAATCTTATAAAAATAGCCTTTATGTATATAAACTGTTGAATGAATATTTTTCCATTCCCCCCACCCCCCAATTTTTCAGGGTGTTCTGTGTGGAAAGTAGAGGTGAAAGACTGGGTTCTAGGAAGTAACTGAATTTGTGTCAGATTTATGCTGGTGTTGGATCTCATGCTTCTTATGTCTTTTAAAAAAACAGCAATACAGTGACTCCTGGAGGCAAACCAAACAAAACCAGAGTGATCTGGGGGAAGGTAACTCGGGCCCATGGAAACAGTGGCATGGTTCGTGCCAAATTCCGAAGCAACCTTCCTGCAAAGGCCATTGGACACAGAATCCGTGTGGTAAGTATTAACAGCAAAATAAATGCCTCTTGATACTTACTACTTACCTCTAAAGACTTGTCCAGAGTATAAAACCAGTTCAATGAACTGATGACTTAGTGAAAAATACAGAGCTATAGGGTAAAGCAGGTGAGGGAGGGTGGTATGCAAATGAATGACATTTAAGTTTGTTGTCACTAAAGCTACTTGGGAGAAGTACTTTGGACGGGATTTATTTGTGTCTTTCAGACAAAGTCTCACTGTATAGCCCTGGTTGGCCTGGAAGTTGTTATATACACAAACTTGATATTTTAATTTGTGACAGGGTCTCACAAAGTTGTCAAGACTGGTCTTGAACTTAGTCTTCCTGCCTTGGCCTTCTAATAAGTAGTTGGGATTTCAGGCCAATGCATCCAGGCTTACCTTATGTCACTTCTGTTTGAGGGTTCAGAGGGATGTTGTGCTTTGTCATGTCTCCCATCTCAGTACTGCCAGAGTAGATAGTGTCTGTATCTTGTACGTGGAGAGTATGCTCATGCCAGGTCTCAGGACTGTGGCCCACATCCTACACATACTATGTTAAGATTTTTGTTGTTCTTTCTTTAGTTTGGGTCCATTTACTCTAATGGTGGGAATGTTGAGTCAGTGCCACCACACCTAACTCTACGACTTGCATTTTAGGGCTGTCATGTTGCATTTATGTGTATTTATGTAGGCACACATGGCACAGCAGTATATAAAGGTCAAAGGACAATTTGTAGGAGTCCGCTTTTCCACTAGGGCATTTACAAGAAACCAAACTCATGTGGTCAGGCTTGGTGGCAAGGCCTGTACCCACTAAGCCATTTCACCATCCCTTGAGTATTTTTTGTTTGTTTTTTATGAATGCTGTTTTTGGGGCTGGGGTTGATAGGTTGGTTTGGTGGCCTGATTATAGTTAGCATTCCTAACCCTTGGTATTAGGTATGGAGGGTGGGGTGGGGGGACCTGGTGGCTGGGGAGGTGGCTCAGTTGGTAAAGTGCTTGCTGCACAAGAATAAGATCTATGATTTTTCCCCAGCAGCTGCATAATGAAAAATTTAGGCACAGTGGTGTCAGTGTCTGTAATCCTAGCCCCGGGGAAAAGGGAGACTCCCTGGTGCTGTGGGAACAGCAGCTGAGACTGTATGTGCCACACACAGATGAACATGTACAAAATGAGTGTTAAGTAACGTAAGGCCACATGCCGTACAAATGCTTCCTTACTGTTAGGGTAAAATCACCAGGTGCATTTGGGAAAGGTGATATGGTAATGGGTTATTTATTATTATTCACCTAATGTTTCTGTGTTTCTTTTCCCCAGATGCTGTACCCATCCCGGATTTAAACTAATGCAGAGTAAATAAATAAAGATAGATTTGTGCTCTTGTATTTTTTCACCTGTCTTAAATCGAGAGTTTCTCTGTGTTGAGGTGGTTGGAGTTGTTCAGCATTTTTGGAGCACAAGGAACTTCTATGTAATGTATTAGACAAAATGTTTTCCTGAGTGAGGTGGTATATATCTTCAGTGCCGATACTCAGACAGATTTTGAGTTTCAGGCCAGCAGGACTATGTAGTGAGAGCCTGTCTCAGAAAGTTTTATGTTCGTTAATGCTGGAGCATAGCAGGGTTTGATGAATAACCTATCGGAGAGTGATTTCCATTCTAGATTTTTAGTGAAAGAAGCATTAAGTCATCTTAGGCCTGGGGTGAAACTCACTGAAACCCTTGACTTGCTATCATGCCCTGGTTTGGGTGCTGTGGGTATGTGAGGTGAGGCACCAGAGGGTAAATAATAGTGCCTACTTGTTCTCAGTACAAATCCAGAAGCTCAGGCAGGTAGTTGGGAAGAATTTGAATGGTGCTTGAAGGGGGAGGGGGGTGTTTGTATGTCTTAGGGGTTGACTTGGGATTGGTCAAGTGGAAGAAAGTAAGGTGCCCTGAAAAGGTCAAGACTAGTACATTTTTTTTCTACCTTGGAAAATGGCTTAGATTTTAATATAGTTGCAGGATTAATGATAGCATAGTTACAAAAGTATGCAGGGCTCTCAAACATCTCTTTGAAGATGTTCTGGAAATAAGGCATATTTAGATTGCTAGCAGGTCCTTTTATTAACCAGTTTAGACTGCTACAGAGGCTGAGCTATTGAAGATGAAGTGGTTGAGTCTTCCCACTGAAATCATGGTGCTGGGCCTTTACTGGGGGAAAGACCCTTAAGCTCCAGAGGGCACAGGCAGTTTCCAGAAATTGGTTAGTTCAAGGCTGTAGTTGACATTTCTGTAAGTTGTTCTTGTAGAAAAGTGTGGTCATTGCGTGGTTGGGAGTGGTCACCAAAGGAGTGGAGTAAAAAGCAACTTGGAGGTGTAGGCTAGCTCACTAGACCCCTAATGTACTTAATACTGAAATCTACTTTTTAGGGCTAAGAAGTGTCAGTCTTGGATTTATTGCAATGTAAATTGTTTTCCCCAAAAGCAACAAAACAACTTGTGTGTCTCAGTTATGTCAGCAGTCTGAGAACCGGTCTGTGAAAAGTACACGGTGGAAGAGCTAGGTGTTTTCAGGACAGGCACGAAGGGAGGTCACAAAGGGTCTTAGGTACTCCGCTGAGAATTTCCGTTATAATTACCGAAATTAACAAGTTTTAAAGCACTTAGTATTTATCTTGACAAGCCACTATAAGCCGAAGTCAGGTGGCGTTTGCAATTTTAGTTTTGAGAACTGGACTTCAGCGCAGATGTAAATTTAAAAGATTCCATCGGAATTCACTCTAGACCAGGCTGGCCTCGAACTCAGAAATCTGCCTGCCTCTCAAGTACTGGGGATTAAAAGCGTGCGCCACCACAGCCTGGCACAAAGATTCCATCTTAAAAGCAGTTATGAATGGGGAGGGTTTCGTCTTTGGTGGTTGATATTTACAAAGTTAAGTCAATGTTGGGGAGAATTAGGCATTTGCATTCAGAGAGAGGTTGAACCTCTAAGATATAAGGAATGACATATACATTGCCATGGGAAGTGAGCTTTGAGCAAAGGCTTCAGTCTTGTGGCAAGGAGCTATCCAACTTCGGTCTTAGAAGACAAGCTGTCACATGAGTACCATAGCCCTAGTTGGTTAGCTCTGGTAGGTAAGCGATGGTGCTGGAATGGACTGAGCGGGATCTGGCTCATAGCACCACGCTTAAGCTGTGGGTCGAGTGCCTGGAAGTTGGCCCGTACCCTGCTACGGAATGGAGTGGGAGCGGCTGCTCCTGAATACGCCGTTCCACACGCCCATCCGCTCTTCACTGATCTCCGCTGGCCCAGGGTTCCCACAGCTCAGTTCACGTGGGTTGCCCGGCGGCGCTCATTGGCCAGCTTGGCGCGTCGCCGCGGTCGCCGCTGCCCTCGTCCTCCGCCGGACCCGGCGTGATGCAGGCCAATGGCGAGGCGGCTGAGGGCCCGCCACCTGTCCGCGGCGAGGGCGGGCGGCGGCCGGGAGGCGTCGCACTCCATGGTAACGACGCCGGCCCGAAGATGGCGGCCGCTGGGTCCGGAGGAGCGGGCGGCCCGGGACCAGGCCCGCGAGGCCGCTGGGGCGGCTGCCTGTGGGTGCGAGGCGTCCTGCTCGTGCTGGGCGGGCTCCCGGCCGGCGCCGCGGCTGCTCCCGTCTCCCTGGGCACTGCGCCTCCGTGTCGGCATCACGTCCTTTCGGACACTGAGGTAGGGTGAAGCGGGGCGCGAGCGGGCCGGGCGAGGGAGTGGCGGGAGTAACGTGGAGGGTGTGTCGTCCCGGGTGGGACTGCAGGTGCTCTGCAGGAGAAAGCCTTTGCCGGACCCACCGGACCCACCGGACCCGCCGCCGGACCCTGCTGCCCGCAGAGCAGCTGAGTTAGGCACTTGTCCCCTCCCATTCCGCTTAGCCAGTAGTACCACAAACTTGGGCGAGCATCCGAATAATCGAAGTACTTGTTAGAACAGATTGCCTCCCCGCTCGCCCACTTTCTGACTCAGGAACTCTGGCATGCATCCCCACAATTCAGATTCCTAGATACTGGTGCTCCTTACTTAATCACCACACTGAGGACCCCTTATCTGAAGACTTGAGAAGCAGTTGATGGGAGAACCAGACAGAGCTGTTGGAAGGCTACTGAGAAAACTCAGAAGACCAAAGTTGAGGATTTGGTTTCTAGTGATTTATCACTTTGCTGCCTTATCCCATCCCCTCTAGCTCTGTAAAGTCGCTCCTCCTTCCACTTCGATTCTCTCCCAGTCTAATTCTTTTAGTCTCGGTTCACTCAGATCTGCCTACCACAACCACGCCAGTAGAATATTCTGTCCATTTCCTCAGGCCTTATCTTCCCTGTATTCTGGCATTTTACCAGGTTCTCTTCTGTGGTACACATAGCTTTCAGACCTGCCTTGCAGTGTAATTTAGTTTTAAGATTTCTTGAGATGACATTTGTGTTATACTGAGTCCTTCACTCAGAGGCGGCCCTATAGTTACTAATATAATGTGAATAACCAAGAGACACTATCAAAGAAGCTTTACTAGTTGGGTGGTAGTGGCGGCGGCCGCGCACACCTTTAGTCCCAGTTCTCGAATCTGAGTTTGAGGTCAGCTTGGTTTACAGATCGAGTTCCAGGACAGCCAGGGCTACACAGCGAAACTCTTTCTCGTTTTTTGTTTTGTTTTGTTTTTAAATCATTTTGTGGTAATTTCCAAGACTGTTTTATGTATGCTGTTTAACTACATGAGCCAAAATGTTAAGTGGTTATGATATGACCTTTTGCTTTGTGGGTTTGGTTTTGTGTTTTTGAGACGGGTCTCATATAGCCCAGGTTGGTTGGAGGGTGCTGGCGGTCTGACCCATCTGCCCCTGTCTCTCAGACACCTGCACACAGGGTTTCAGCTTTTATCATGACACTGTCCCAGCTGCATTGTTTGCTTTATTTTAAAGAGGCAGGGTCTCTTTCTGTAACACAGGCTAGCCTGGGACTCACTATGGAGCCCAAGCTAGCTTCTAAGTTCCACTGAACAACATCTCCAAATGGTATCTGATGGTTTTGTTGTCTCCATACTTCTTTGCTTAAGATTGTAGTCCACTGTGTAGCTCAGGCTGCCTCAGTTTCCAGAGTGCTGGGGTTGTAGAAGTGCGTCATCACTTCTGGCTCGGCTGGTCTTTTATCAGCTCCAGTGAGCTTTTCACCCCCCACCCCCACCCCACACACCCTTGTTTGGTTCTTTCTGTTACTGCTAGCCTTCTTCACCACCTTATTACACACTCATTTCCCTATAAGCCCTGTGAGCACATGGCAGTTGCATTACGGGGTGATGCTTCGATTCAGTTCTGAAGAGGTGGTTTCTGCTCGCGGCTCTTTCCCCTCAGCACAGATCACATTCTTCTGCTGGGTCTGATGACTGTTAACTTTTCATTAGGTAATGGCCACTGTGAGCCTCTCCCCTCCCCCTACAGTCTTTCTCCCCGTAACCTTGTGTTACTGTAAGATCTGAACATTTGTGCTCATCAAGCCCATAAGGCTCTGCGTTCTGCCTCATGCACAAAACCTCAGGGAAACTGGAGCCCTACAAGACAGAGGCACAGTTCCTGTATTTCAAGAACAGACCTTACAAGCGGTGTCTTTTTCTCCTCTAGTGCCTTCAAATAGTATTCTTTAGTTGTTTTGTTTTCTGAATCAGGGTCTCATGTAGCCCAGGCTGGCCTGAAACTCACTCTATAACCTCTACCTGCCTTCATCTCCCAAGTGTTCGGGTTATAGGGATGGGCTTCAAGTAGTATTGATTTAAAATAGTTCCTCCAAATTTGATAGTATATTATCTATATGAAGCTGCCATTCCATTTCTAGAAGCCAGCAGTTCCTATTTTGTATGTAAGTTAGAGAGAATAATCTGTTTCTCTTAACTTTTCTCAAATAGCCCCTTTTCCGTGACATATCCTCTCCTTAATCTGTTCCTCTAAACCTAACTTACATGCCTTCTGTCTGTCACTTTGATTCAGTTTATTAGGAATTACTGGACTCAACAGTCTTCATAATTTTAAGACAATGTAGATTTCCTGGCTGTCCTGGAACTCACTCTGTAGACCAGGCTGGCCTCGAACTCAGAAATCCGCCTGTCTCTGGCTCCCAAGTGCTGGGATTAAAGGCATGTGCCACCACTGCCTGGCTGAACTTTTTTTAAAAGTCTATTTATTTGTTATTTATGAGTACACTGTAGTTGTCTTCAGACACACAAGAAGAGGGCATCAGATCCCATTACAGATGGTTGTGAGCCACCATGTGGTTTGTCTTAGGGTTTCTATTCCTGCACAAAACATCATGACCAAGAAGCAAGTTGGGGAGGAAAGGGTTTATTCAGCTTACACTTTCACATTGCTGTTTATCACCAAAGGAAGTCAGGACTGGAACTCAAGCAGGGCAGGAAGCAGGAGCTGATGAAGAGGCTATGGAGGGATGCTACTTACTGGCTTGCTTCCCCTGCCTTGTTCAGCTTGCTTTCTTATAGAACCCACGACTACCAGCCCAGGGATGGCACCACCCACAATGGGCCCTCCCACCTTGATCAGTAATTGAGAAAATGCCTTACAGCTGGATCTCATGGAGGCCTTTCCTCAACTGAAGCTCCTTTCTCTGTGATAACTCCAGCTTGTGTCAAGTTGACACACAAAACCAGCCAGTACGTGGTTGCTGGGAATTGAACTCAGGACCTCTGGAAGAGCAGTCAGTACTCTTACTTAACCACTGAGCCATCTCTCCAGCCCTACATTTTGAACTTATGACAGGAGTAAATCGTTACAGCAATGCAGCTGCCAAAAGGGCTTGGGCTCTGCGAAGTCTTTGTAGTTTGTCATACAGATTCTAGCTTTGCTGACTCCAAGCCTTTAGAAAAGGATGAGAGGCTGAGCACAGCAGTTCACATCATTAACCCCAGCACCAAGGCCAGCCAGAGTCACACAGTAAACAGACTTTCTCAATCAAGACAAGAACATGACAGGAGACTAAAAGTGTAAGAGTGTGTGTGACTACGCATGTGTGTGAGTGTGTATTTGTCAAAGTGTTTGGTGTATGTTTGTGAGTATGTGTGTGTGTAGAGTCTCTCATGGCCTAGGGAGCTGCCAAGCAGGCTAGCCTGTTTCACTAGTGAGCCCCAGGATTCCTCCTGTCTGCTTCTCCATGGCTAGGATTTAAGTATGTACCTTTTACATTCAGTCAGTTTTATTTTTCCATTTTGGTTTTTCAAGACAAAGTTTCTCTGTGTAGCCCTGGCTGTCCTGGAATTCACTCTGTAGACCAGGCTGGCCATGAATTCACAGCAGAGATTCACCTGCCTCTGCCCTGAGTGCTGAGATGAGAGGCATGCACCACCCCCACCCCCACCCCCAGCTTTATTATTTTGATTTTTTTATCCTGAGTTCTAGGACACCTTACTCAGGTCCTCGTGCTTTAAAGGAAAGCACTTTACTGTAGGAGCAATTACCCCGGACCTGATAGAACCTTAGAACCTTAGGTTATATATATATATATATATATATATATATATATATATATATATATATATAGAGAGAGAGAGAGAGAGAGAGAGATAGATAGATAGATAGAATTTCCCTGTGTAGCAGCTTTGGCTCACTCTGTAGACCAGGCTGGCCTTAAACTCACAGAGATTTGCCTGCTGGGATTAAAAGCATGCACCACCACCAGGTTTAGGATGACCAACTTTATGTAACTCATGAAGCACAGAATAAGCTGGGCAGTGGTGGCACACACCTTTAATCCCAGCACTTGGGAGGCAGAGGCAGGCGGATTTCTGAGTTTGAGGCTAGCCTGGTCTACA